TAATGTTGCCGTTCTTTAAAATTCCCTGACAGTCAGGAGCTGCAGATGGAGTTCACAAGAGTGAGAAGGGGCCGTATCCTGATCCATCACAACTGCCTTGTTTTTCCTAGAAGGAAAGAGCTGTAATCCCTGTGTATTTGGCTTCTCCTTTCAGGAAGAATTTTCCAAATATCTTGTAACTGCTGTAGCAACTCCTGGTGCATTAGACTTGTGCAGGCTTTGCTGCTTGGGATGTGTTTCTGAAGCATGAGATTTTAAACAGCTGGGGATGTGCTGGAAGATGGATCTGTAGGATCCAGTGCAAAGTCATAGAGGAGTACTGGGACTGCTCTGCTTTGTGACAGCCCATCATAACCAGTGGTAACTTCATGACTCAGGAGCTGCAGAAGTGGCTGAGCTAGCCTAGCTGCTGCTTGCTGCGTGCGGCTGTACAAATGTGTGGGGTCTTTGCTGTGATTCACGTGCCGTGCATGCCATCCGCGTGCACTTCGGGTGGTGATGGTGCAAAGCAGGTGGCAGTCACTTGGTCCAAATTGTGCAGCTCCCGGATGAGTGAATGAGGAGGCAGAGCAGAGCATCGCACCCAGGTGTTACGTGTTTATATCCTTAACTTGAAGCACAAATATTACAGGTCATTCAGTGTCACCATAAATCAAAAATCTATTATTGTCTCTGAAGCCCATTTAAGTTTACAAGTTAATTTCATGCTGGAACTGCTGTACTGCAGATATTGTTCTCGCACAGTTGTCCTGTGTTGCCCTCCCACATCGACAGCCTCCACCTGTTGGGGAGCACCTTCTTTGGTTTTAGTTCATAACTGCTAGTGACTGTCTTAATGGTTTTTAAATTACATATTGATTTGCTTCTTAGTGCCTTTCCTCCCCCATGCTTGTCTCTCCTCATTGGCATTCCTGGATGTATATCTTAGTTCACCAACGTTTTTGTTCATCGGTCTCATATTATTTGCAGGCTGGTCAGTACTGTTTCCTCTAGCCCCTTTGATAAATAACAGCCCTTCAAATATCGTGAATGAGGTGTGTCTTGTTCAAAGTGCGAGGAGGTTGGTCAGCAAGTGGCATCACTCAGGAGCTGAGGGAGGCATCAGAGTTAGTAAACGAATTTTCATCAAGAAATCTCATGATACATCTTCATTTGATTTTGAGACTACGACCGTGGATTCTCTGAAATGACAGTATTTGAGCATACCTCCCATATTGTGCTTCCTTGTTACTTTAGATTCTTACACGTGCAAGGGAAAGGAGTACGGGCTTGTGCTGTCCTGCTTTTATGTCTTCCCCACTGTGAGCAATGTGAAACAAAGGGAAACAAAAAGTGGTGGGAGATGAGGAACCGTGGTGAGAAGAGAGCTTTGGGTTGTTATGCTTTGACTCTGACCCTGTTGTATAAACAAAGACATGCAAAAATACAATAAATCTTCAGCTAGATGAGCAGTGACGTAAAGGCAATTTTGTACTTATATATAAATATGTGCCTGCTATTACCTTACTGTCAAAATACACAGCCAAGTATTTCAAAGCAAGGTATGCAGAGAATCCATTACCTGCATTTCCCATTTGCCGTTCTGTGTGTGTTTGATAGTTAATAGCTGCCTGGATTTATATGGATGAAGCAGTGGACTGTGAAAGGTTGGAAGACACCACAGGTTGGCCACGAGGGTACGTGCAGGATTATACCATAGTTTTTAAGAGGTAATTCCACAAAGTGGCAATAAAAGTAGTGTAAGATTGCCATCCCATTCCTGAGCTGTGGTTATTGATTGCATCCATAAGCCACATACATGTCAGTGCAAAGCCATTTTTGGGGTGTTTCAACAGAAGCCTTCAGAAGTAGAGTCATCTTCAATTATGTAGCTGTGCAGGAGCATGCCACTCCATGTCCTTGGTAAAAACCTCTACTTCCTGCATGGGAAATAGCCCAGAAGGGTTGTTTTTTTTCCTCCTGCCACTGAACAAAGACTTCTACTAGAATAAAGAAAGCATTACAACCAATAAAGCGCTTCCATGCCATCTGCATGTTCCGCCTGTATGCCTTCTGCCTGCAGAAGTTCTGCTTCTGGCAGTTATTTGTCAGAGGCATTGTGATGAGCATATGAGACTTGATCACCTGTCTGTAATGTCAGTCTTGCTCTCTCTGAAGTGTATTTATTGCAGCTGTGTTATGGGAAGGCATAATTCTTCTGAGGAACTTTAAATGTGATTAAAGCAAGAACATGTAAGTTTGAATTCTGCTGTATAAAACAAGTAGCTGCTTTAGGGGTTGGGAAGAGAGGAGCCAGGAAGACAAGCACTTGGAGCTGCTCTGCTTAGGTAGGGCTGAAGTATTTGATGTCTGGTTGCTTGGCTTGGGTAAGGTTTATGAGGCCCAATCATGCATAAAGCTCCACTCAGAAGAGAAGTAAGTTAGGACAGGAAGCCTTCTGCTTTTCTACTTTGTGCTACACTTTGTAGTCGTGTATATTTTGTGTTGATCCACGTATCTTGAAAAACAGGTGTAGGAATTGGAATGACTTAGTCGTTTTCTATAGCAGAGCATGTAGTGTATCATCCTTCAACAGGATTAGGCTTTCCAGCACTGTAAGTTGCAGACTTTCGGGTGCTCAGGTGCACAGAAGATAACAAAAACATCACATGGTGATTCCCCCAGATTCCCCCAGAATGAGCAAGCAGCAGAGTGCAATCTGCTGCTGCTGTGCCAAGGAACAAAGAGTTAGACATGGCTGTGGCTGTGCAGGTGCAGAGAGAGACTTTTTTTTAAAAAAGGCTGAGCTGTTCCATTAAATGCTAAGTCCTTTTAAGTACCATAGCGGTTGTTGGTTCAGATGGAGTCTTCATGCAGAAGGACAGAACCTATCTTCTCTGTGACAGTGTGGTCTGTAAAAGGTTGCACCTCTCATTGAAAAACTTGAGGGCCTACAAAACAAAACACTTCCAAATACTGGGATTTATGCAGCGGTGCATGCATGCAGCATTGTATGATGCTCCTCAGACAACACTCAAGATTATTTTTTTATGTGCCACCTTTGCTGATGGTTTTCTGTACACAGAGCTGCTTGGTGTCTGCTTCAAATGAATAAACTCAGCATCCTTTCTTTGAGGTAGACTGGGCTGTGAATGGAGCCTGACGGGGAGATTGCTGTGTGATGCTGGCTGCTTTGCCACTGTGCTGCACTGCTCTGGAGTGGAGTTTCAGGGAGCAAAGCAGAACAAAGGATGGCTTATTTTACAAACATGGTGTCACTTTGAAGAGTCCAGGGGAGCAAAATTGTTTATGTAAATTATTCCTTGGTTTTACACTCTTAATTGAAGTAAATTATCTTCTTGCAAACAGGTCAAGAATTTGAAAGAAAAAGATTCAATGCCTGTAATTCCATACAGAAATGCTAATCTGTTTGAATGTGCATGTTTTTCCAAATTCTATTCTTTTGAATGCTCTCCTACTTTGAATTGCCTAGTTGTCGCTTTTTATTTTAATTTGATGGTGCAATTGTCTCTTTGAAAAACTGAAAATCGGTGAAAATGCATTTCCAATGCATTGAAGGCTTGAATTGCAGACCTTTCAGCAGAACATAACGCATTAATTTTTCAGGCCTGTATTATATGGGTTTGTAACAGTGATTTCTTCATAGATGTTTATTACCTCTGATGAGGTATATATGAATGTTTTAAATGCCAATGTAGTGCACAGGCCAGCATCAGCATGTAGCATTTGCAGCATGAAGACCTGTAACAACAGGTAGAAGCATCTGTGTGTAAATACTGAGTAGCCGTGTTTGCGTGGGTAGCCCAGGAGGTGGGTGGCCCCTGTGTTCTGCTTTAAGGCAGGGGAAGAAGTCTCCTTTTCCTTTGTGGATCAGTAAAGTCACTCCTCTGTGCTGAAGGCATATTGTGCCTCTTACTTGTTCTGGATTTTTTCCGTAGCAGGGAAAACCAAAATCTACTATCCATCTGTGCAAAATGGGACGTAGTAGTACACAAAAACGAATCTGTTCTCAAAAGAACTCATGCTAGGAAGGTGGCTCTACAGAAGAAACTGAAATAGTTTTATTATAAGAATAAACATTGTGATTTAAAGATGTGCATTTAATTTTTTATTTTTAAAGAACATGCGTATTTTCTGGGCCTCACTGTGAGAGGACGTTGGCAAAAAATGAATTCCTGACAACTTAGGGTGGGAACAATGAAGGAGTTTCTGGAACAGCCAGTGATGGTGGCTGAGTTTCTAAATTTCCACAGCCCCTGATGAGCGGGGTGAACACGTCGGTGAGAGCGGCGTGTATCTCTGCTCGCATCTATCTTGGTGCGAGCTGGCGCAGCGTGTGCAGGCTGCAGGTCCCCCAGTCCTACCCGGCTTGGTGTTTGGCTGGGATTCTCTTTTGCACGTGGATGCACCCATAAATGTATACACACACAGCTGTGTGCACGTCTACAGGTGCCAAGGTATACTTAGGTGCATGCACACGTGTTATTGTGACAATGGCATTGGGCTTAACCCAAGACTTTGAAGCTGTTTTTTGACAGCGTATGCATCTGTCTGCAGAATAGCATATTAGTGAAGTGTTGATATTAATCTGATGTTATGTTTTCCCCTCATTTATTGCATATTAGAGGTAACACACGCTGTCAAGCAACAGCAAGCTCATTCATTTTAGAAAATTAGCAAAGCCACGTTGTGGCCCACTGCTTGAGAAACAGCTGTCATGGAAATCTCTGCTTTGTTTACTTGTGAGACTGTGTTTTTCTGCAGAATTCCCTTCTGTTGATCTGTCTCATATGAATATGTTGTTTTGAAACATTGGCATCTTCCCCTTCTGTGCTAGTTTTGTTTGCTGGTAATGGAATTGAGAGCCAAGAGGGACTCTGAAAGGCAAATAGGTTTCCTAATTAAGAGGGAGTGATTGGGTAGAATTTGAAAGATCAGTTGTGAATGTGTCTATACTTTTGTTTAAACTTCAGCACTAAACTCTTAATTATGTTTTGCAGGATATGAACGATTACTCGCCGGTATTTAGCAAAAAGCTCTACAGGGGAATGGTTGCTCCTGATGCAGTCAAGGGCACCGTTATCACTACCGTTTCAGCTGAGGATCAAGATCCTCCGGTAAGCAAAAAGGTTCTATTAATATTCTGCACCCAAGAGGGAGAAATCTTTAACCCTCATAAGCGACCTAACTCTCTCAACAACAAAGGTGATTATTATGAGTTTCACAGAGCAGTAACTCATACATTTTTTGTCAGCCTTTTTGGACAGAGGCTGCATGTAAAACAATGGTTTCTGAAGCTGGCACATCAGTGATACGGCTCCTTTCTGTCAGGAAGAGGTTTGAAAACCACTTCATTCAACTTCCCAGTGTCAGATGAATTACAGGAATAGGAAAGAATGGAAGTCATGGCTGTCTTTCGTACAGTTGTGCAGCTTAACAGGGAAATAAAATGCAGCTTTTTAAGATTGTTACCTTCTTGATTTGCAGTCATTGTGCATTCCTAGTCTGAGACATCATAGGGTCATGGGGAACTCACAGCCCACCAGCTGGCCTTATTGGATATGTAGTATTTGAACAGACTGCTGGTGTTTTGGGGATAAAGTTTATTTTTGCAACTGACTTTTATCACTGTTCCCTAGTGAAGCACTCAATTGACAGAACTGAACACATATTTTTGACTTGTTAGCTATTCTGAAGGGTAATATCAATTTTTGTAATCAGAGGTTGATGAACATTGGTGACCAGATGATACACTGAGGACAAGAAAAGCCCAAAATGTTCTGCCAGCCAGGTTTAATTTTTAATTGTTAGTGTTTGGCATATTAAGGAGAGTAATCCTCAGGGACAAGTGTTCGGAGTGAATGTGCCATGCACATTAAAAGATGATGGCAGTGCTTTGACACAAATCAATTGTAGCTTAGCTAAATATGTTTCGTAGTACTTTATTTGCCACTCAAGGACAGAAATGCTGAAGCAGTGTTTCTGTAAGGACAGTCCTGTTATCCTTTTGTAAAAAGTCCTAACACAATGGTAAGTAAATTCACTGCAGGTGGTGTCTGTCAGCTGCATATTACAGAACCTGGAGATATTATAGTAGTTAACACTTGCTGAAGATCTGGACTATTGTTTGTCTAAAATACATATAAGAATAAGTTATCAACATGTAGGTCACAAATAGCAATTGTTATCAATAAATAGTTTTGCAGTGTACTTGAGGAATGCAGCAGCAGAGGACATACATGTTATTTCAGCAGTAGATGGAGAGCTGTGTCTTAAATGACCAGTGTTGGGCAATTTCCAGGGGAATATTAACAGAAGGAAGCATTCATTTCTCCATGGAAGTAGTCTTCCAGGCCATGATGCTGCTGTGAAGGTGACAAAACTCAGCACCCGTGAAGATGATGGACATGCATGATGAAGATTTTGAGGATCTTAGTTTTGCTTTAGGCACTGCAGTTGCACCCACATCACCCAGTTCCATTTTGGACTGCAACCATTATGCGTAAGCAAAGGGAAGTATCTCTAGTAGCCTTGTAGAAATCTACAGGTAGAAATCCCCACTCTAGCTATTCGCAGTTTTTAGTAAGTGTTCATATTTTTGTGGATTTTGTACAATCTTGCTGCACCTTTTCCTCCCGTTTTGCTCTGTGGAACTACAGTACTTTTGTCTGATTTTTTTCACTGTTCTTTGGGGATCTCCAGGCCAAGGTGTCCACCATCATCTTTGTCATTGTTTAAAACTGAAACTTGCAGTGAAAATTAGAGTTGATGGCTCAGATTTTATTTGCTGGGAAATAATTTTAAATTGATTTAAGATAATATCCTGTAACTATGTGATCTAAACTAAACTTTGATTTGACTTTCTGAATGTGTTGTGTTTTTTTTTTGTCTGTCACATTTCGTATATGTCTTATTCTTCCATATATTTGGTGCAGTGACATGGGTGCAGAGTTTCTGTGTGGCAGTAGAAGCCAGCAAGGTTTATGCTTACACTATGTAGCACAAAAGTATTACCTTATTTTGCCAACATTTCTTCCTGAATAATAATGCACTCTGTTACCATAGTAATCCTATCAAATTAGTAAACTTTGCTTTCATAAACGTGGGTCTGTATTGCATTCAGCGTTTCAGGGAGTTCAGCAGATGGGTGTTAGCTGGAGAAAATTCTCTGTTGCTTTCCCTAGGAATGAGTTGGAAACCAGACAGGTAGAAAACTTCATTTTTGTTAAAAAGCTCTCATCCTTAGCAGTTAGCAGCAACAGGAAACACTGCCCATATCACAAGTGGAGCTGCTTTAGAGTGATCTGCCAGTGGAGAGAGGGGAAAACTTGCTTTCCATAAGTGTTGAAAGTGCAATTTATTTATTTATTTATATTTTGACAGTCAAAATCAGCCAGGGATAAAGTTCTAAATCCATCAGTAACACTTCTATAGACCTGCCTCTGCCTGTAGCATCAGTACGCATTTGTCCTAGCAGGTTATCTCACTGACCTTTGAGAAAAGCATGCAGAAAAGGATGCTAAGGATCAGTGAAATACATGTAGGACAAAAATCAGAATTTCTCTTTCATGGAATTAGTGGAAATTTCAACACAAATGAGTTATTGGGATAAATATTTTAAAATATATATTATATTATAAAATTATATTTTATATATTAATTGCTGCTAGAGAATCAGTTTTTAACATATTTTTTAATGCAGATTTTATTTAATATTATCTTTTGCCTTACAATAATTTTATTTTGGTCTTCATGAAGGATTTGCCCATTCTGTTATAATCTGCATTTTGTGATTCCCCAGGTTAATTTGTCTATACATTAAAGAATAAGGTATCACCAAAACAGTTGATGAAACAAAACAGTCTCTAACTGATTAATAATGTATTTGTAACCTTTCTTAGTTCTGTGGAATCTGCATTTTATAATGCAAAGTTATGTCACTTTCTCATCTAAAAAACAAACAAAGAAAAAAAATAATCCTACTAGCCCACCAAACTGTCAGCAGATTTTTTTTACTTAGAATTATGTTTAGCCCTTTATCCTTCTGCAGTCTCTCAGTTTCTAACATTTCTATCACTGTCAGATGGACAGATAAAAGTAGAAATTGATCATGAGTAAGCTTCCCTACTCTTACAGTGGGTAATAATGGCCATCCTTAGGTAGCATGGGAATGGGAGAATATAAAACTAGACTAAAGCACTTATGTCTCCCAAATTCCTTTCTTGTGATTTCCTCATGTCTTTATACAGATTTATTTTTTTCTGATTTTGAATGTTTTGTATTTGAAAGATGTGAGGATTGCTTGTATTTCTGTAGAGAAATTGATGCACATACATGAGAGAAATCAAAATCACTGAGTGCTGGATCCTGCTTATTACCATTATAATAGGCATAAATGCAGGTAACAATGTGAAGATTTTGAAGTCTTCAAAATCAACTGTGGCATTGAAATTGTTTAATTTTCTTAATTGAAGCATACAAACCTGATGCCTATAACATTAAGCCACCAGTAGAATGCAAGTGTTGATAATAGGATTGGTTTGGTCACAACAAACATCGATTTCTGATTACTACTACTAAGTGCTCATTTAATACAAAAATCACCTGTGCTAGATTCAAATGCTCCCAAGTAGAAACCTCATTATGTTTTCATTTTAACCTTTGGATTTCAAAGTGATCAAAGAACTCTTGGCCTGAAGGCATGAGGTATCTCTGATAGTTATTCCTTCAGTGCCCTAGTGAAATGTCAATTAAAACATACAAACCAGTGCTTTTCTCTACAGGACAGAATAGGATTTGAAAGGTTTTCTTGAGTAAATGTCAGTTTCAGTTCTAAGAGTTTTCTCCTTTCTTTCCTTTTCCAGTTTGAATTCACTTTGTGTGTGTGACAACTGCGAATATAAACTATTTTTAAGAAGTTACTTTTCATACTTGCATTAAAAATCCTTAATTTGAATTACCACTCTGGTCGTTGAAATCTGGTACATTTGGTTTCACATACATTTCAGGAAGCATGTTAGATCAACTTACATCCTTTTGTTTGTTGGAATGGTCTATAGTATATTTTTCTCTGGTTTTAAACAGTTTTACGGTATGTGATCTTTCAAGTTACTTCATACATCCTACTGTTGCTCACGCTGTGTTTCCCAGACCAGCTTTCCTTGAATTGTCGACACATGTACAGGTAAAGGGTAACAAAATGCATAAGGAAACAAAAGCAGGCCAAGGGAGGCAAAGGGAGTTGTAGTAGAGCAGAGCCCTGGTGGCATGACTGCTAAGGAGAAGCTTGAGTACATCTTCAGTTCTTTCTAAATAACTGGTAAACCTTGCTAAAATACAAATCTTGAGCTTTAAAACATTTTGAGACCACTCGCAGGAAGCTATCCTCTTTGTGTGGGGGCTAACTGTGAAGAACCAGATGGGGGAAGCATCCCAGCCTCTGTGTAAAGGGTTGGAGGGGGTGACACAAAGGTGTCAGGACAGAGCAGACAGTTGTGTGCAGGGTTTCCCTCGTGTCATCTTGAGCTTCCCTTCCAGAACGGTTGTCCATCTGGAACTAAAGGACTAAGAGACACGATTTTTCCACTGTTAAACTGTGTGCTTTGTTTCCTGCAAGAACTCCCTTGACTATTAGAATTTAACTTCCCAACCAAATCCTGTTTTGAAAACAGTGATCTGACCAAAGAATGAAGTCAAAAGCGAGTAACAGTGCAAGCAGGTATCCTTTGAGGTCCATAACTATTCGTGTAGCTGGAAAACACAGACGTGTAACATGTATACTGGGTGTGCCAAATAAATGCTTCATGAAACTAAAGTAGATATGATAATATCCTATAGAAAAAAAAAAAAAATTATCTCTAAAATAGGGAATGAAAATAAAACCAAGATCTAAGTGGGGGGAAAAAAAAAAAAAGCCTGGAGTTACAGGCATAGCTGAGCATAAAAGAGAAGTAAGAGTCTAAGGCTGCAAGGTAATAAAGAACAGTCCATCAATGGGGACAGAAAGGAGTAACTGAGTCCTTGTACAGAGGATAATCAGACATTTGCTTTGGGGCATGTTAGTGCGGACTAAGGGGTGGTGAGAGAGAAGGATGCCCAGTTACTGAAGTTTCTGAGA